AAAAAAAAAAAAAAAAAAAACAGAAAGGAAAATTGTAGGTTTTTGGTCAATTCTCTAAAAAGAACTGATTTTTCCCCTGATAATAGAGAAAGGATTGGTGCACACACTCTGCTGCTTCCCTCCCTGTGGAATTCTCCCATCCATAGGGATCAGCATTCCATACACTCCCCAGTTTGCATCTGTGAGGTCTCAGGAGTGGCAGGAATCCTCCCAAGGTGCTAGGAAAGGGCAGAGCAGCAGACAGGAATCATCACATCAGCTCTGCTCCCTCGGGGAAAAAAGGGCTGGAAAACATCTGCTTGTCCCCAAGTGGGAACAAATGGTTTATTCAGGGATTATTCATGGCTGAGGGTGGATTTCCTGGAAGAGCAGAGATGGGATGGATATGTGAGACATGAGTCTCATCCTGCTCCAAGATCAGCACTCCAGGGTGAAGGGAAAAGCAGGAAGGCTGACATGGAGCTAGGGAAGAGGGAGCTGCTCCCAGCTGCTCCCATTTCCAGCTCTGAAGCTGTGCAAAACCAGAATCATCCAGCCAAATTCCCTCCTATAGCATCCACACAGGTTTGGCTGAGCTTCCTGATGTTTTTTAACACCATGTTCCATAAATCCCTGTTGGTTTCTCAACCATAATCAAGTGTGAATCCCAAGGAAACCATAACAATGGATTTCCCAGCTACTCCTAAGTTCCTCACTGCTTACAGCCACTGTAGTGGGACTGATTCCAGGTTTACACCCCAGAACAGCTACTTCAGGGTTATCCCCAGGGAATATTCTGTTTTCGCATCCCAAATCCCTCCCCAGATCCTTACAATGATCATCTGATCCCTGGAACTCTTCTGGAGCTCTTTGACCTTCTTGCTCTTCGGTGGTTTTCCAGGTGGGTTGTTCCCAAACGGAAGCTCCTCCAGCCCAACCTGAGGCCTGGAAATCCTGGAAAAGGGAGGAAAAGGAGTGACCAGAGGGAAAGGTTAACCAGAGCAGAGTGGAGGTTCTTATCACAGAGTATCCCAAATGGAACCAGGGAGAGCAAAGCTTCCCAGGAGCTGTGGAGGATCCAGGAAGAGCTGTAAGTGAATGAAAGATGAAATAACTCTGGATTAAGGACCTCTCCCACTTCCATAGCTTTCCCATTCCCAGGATATTAGAAATCCAGCAGCATATTGAACAGTCAAAGTGAAAAACAATGTCCTGGGAAGCATGAGCTGAGGTCCATGGAGCATGGAAAGTGCAGCTGAAGAAATAGTGGGAGGAGTCCCAGGCCATGGGATGGAATGGGATGAGCTCTGAGGACCCTTCCCACACCTGATCCACATGGCACACCTGGATAAAGCCATACAAGACAAGGATAAGGCTCCTGCCAGACAGACCAGGGAATGTGGCATCACCTGACATCACAGCTCCAGGTGTGGAGCCAGCCTGGGAGTGTCCAGCCTGGAGAAGGGAAGGATCCAAAGAGACCTGGGAGCCTATTCCAGTGCCTCAAGGGGCTCTGAGGGAGATCCAGAGGGATTCTGGACAAGGGTCAGGAGGGACAGGATACAGGGAATGGCTTCCCATTGCCAGGCTGGATGGGGCTTGAAGTAACCTGGTCTAGTGGAAGGTGTCCCGGTCCATAGCAGGGGTGGGATGGAATGAGCTTTAACGTCCCTTCCCACTCAAACCAGTCTGGGATCCTGTGATTCCATAGAGCTGGAGCTGGTATGGTGCCAGGCTGGGTTTCTCAGCAGACAATCCCTGTGGAATGAGCTCCAAGGGTTTCAAAGAGACAACTAAACCTGAGGGAGACCTCAGAGCCCCTTCCAGGGCCTCAAGGGGCTCCAAGAGAGCTGCAGAGGGACTTGGGACAAGGGCCTGGGGGGACAGGACACAGGGAATGGCTTCCCACTGCCAGAGGGCAGGGAGAGATGGGATATTGGGAAGGAATTGTTCCATGCAAAGTGGCACTTCTTAAGGAATCCTAACTGTTGGTGCAGTTGCCCTGTAAAGTCATGGAATTCATTTGGAGAAACACTAATATAATTAGGATACCAAGGAGAATTTCCAACGATTTCATGTAGGAAAATAAAAGCTTGTCCTCCGCAGCTTTCTCAAGAGATAACAGCAAATCCAAAACTGCTTTGCAGTCAGGATTTCCATGTTTTCCAGAGCTCCACTTACACCAAGGAAGGGATTTGGAAAAGCCACAGGAGGAGGCAAAGCAAATATTGCAACCAGATCCTTCTGTCAACACTAGCTGGGCAGAGGAGCACAGAGGCAGCAACTTGGGAATGTTTGTTTTGGCTCTTCTGGGAATAACTTGCAGTATTTGGGTTTTCTTAATGTTCACAATGAAACATTTATTTGGAATAGAATGGATCTGGGGGGAAAAACTGGAGAGAAAAAAGGGATAGGGGAAGGAATTCATCCCTGTGAGGGTGGTGAGGCATTGGCACAGGTTGCCCAGAGCAGCTGTGGCTGCCCCATCCCTGGGAGTGTTCCAGCCCAGGCTGGATGGGGCTTGGAGCAACCTGGGCTGGTGGGAGGGGTCCCTGCCCATGGCAGGGGGTGGGATGGATGAGCTTTAAGGTCCTTCCCACCCAAACTAGTCCGGGATCCTATGATTCCATGGAGCTGGGATGGCTCCAGGCTGGTTTGTTTCTCATCAGACAATCCCTGTGGAATGAGCTCCAATGGTTTAAAGCAAAACACTGAGCTCCAGGGAGACCTCAGAGCCCCTTCCACTGCCTCAAGGGGCTCCAAGAGAGATGCAGAGGGACTTGGGACAAGGGATGGAGGGACAGGACACAGAGAATGGCTTCCCACTGCCAGAGGGCAGGGATGGATGGGATATTGGGAAGGAATTCCTGGCTGTGAGGGTGGTGAGGCACTGGCACAGGTTGCCCAGAGCAGCTGTGGCTGCCCCATCCCTGGGAGTGTTCCAGGCCAGGCTGGATGGGGCTTGGAGCCACCTGGGCTGATGGGAGGTATTCCTGCCCATGGCACAGGGTGGGATGGGATGAGCTTTAAGCTCCTTCCCACCCAAACCATTCCATGATGGAAAACACAAGTGGCCCAAGGCAGTGCATGTTCCTGACCAAGAGGAAGTAGAAAAAGGCTGATAATTCCTGGTAAAAACCAGGACACTCTGGATATGGAAGGACAGAACACTGGTTAAATCAATGAACAGCCCTGTACAAGCCTCAACCTTGTGGTATTCTTGGGATGAATATATCCTGGGACCACAGGATATATCCTGGGATTGATGACTTGATCATTCCTGGAGACACTTACCTTTTCCTGGGGGCTGTGGGGGCACTGAAGATGGGGTAGACAACAGCTTTTGAGGGAGATGCTGGAAAAAACAAATGGAATTCCATGGTTTAGAGGCATTTCTAGTTGGAGAACACATGGAAATAGAAATTCCAAACCCAACAGGACTTCAAAAGGGCAAAAAAAACCAGCAGAATTAGTATTTTCTTGGGTATTAATGAAGAGTTTTAATCCAGAGGTTTCTTTGTTTCCCATTATTTTGGCCACAACAGGCTGAACCTGAAGCTTCCGCATCCTGCAAAAACTGGGAAGCAACAAGCTCAAGGTAAAAATTACAGCAGAAAATGCAAATTTTGGGATAATTTAGCCTAAAATTGGGAAGCAAAAGCAAATCATTGATAAATCAGGAATGTGTTTGTCTCCAAGTGCAAAACATTTGGGATTTAGGCTGCTTAATGCTGTCCTTTTGGACTAATTTCCCAAGTAAAGACTTCTTGGGAATTAGAGGAATTCAGGACAGCAGCAGAGAAGCTCTAAAACCTCCAAAAATATTCCCTGAAGGTGTTTTTCCAGGAAAGAGGAGCCACGAAAAACATATCTTGGTGCTATCAGGACTGGAAAAGCTCCTGAGTCAGGAAAATGCCAAGAAATAACAGGAAACTTCCAAATTCCCAAAAATTCAGAACTTTGGCAGGCAAAGATGCTGCCTGGGAAAGGCTCCAGGAAGGAAACATCAGGAAATCTTTGGGAATGTGATGGCAGGTGTAAAACACAGACAAAGGAGGATTGAATCCAGAGACAGAGATAGCAGGAAGCAAAGTTGTTGGAAGCACAGGCAATCCCATTCTTCAGGATAAGGAGAAGGGATAACATTCAATAACAATATTCCAAAAGGCAATAAATAAATACCCAAGTGAAGCAGAATTAAACAGACAGAAAAAAACCACAACAAAACAGCTCAGGAATGCTGCAAATTCTTTCAAGGAATGGATTAAGGATCAGATGTGCCAGGAAAAACATGGAATAAGAGGCAACTCAGGGCTTGGAAGTTCAAGGAATTCCAAAGCGAATAAAAAGCAGGAGAGCAGGACAGGAAGGTGAAGGACTGAAAGCTTGGGAAGGTCATGGCAGCAGGAAAACATCCTGGAATGGGAAAATTCCAAAGCATTTAATGCCTTTGTGTTTCATCCTCAACAGAAGAATCAGTGGCACAAAGGAGGGATAAAATTCCACAGCCACTGGGGCGGGAATAGGGAATGCTGCCTGGTTTTCACAGGGAGAAAACAGGGAATTAGGGATAAAATAAGCTTCCAAGTTCTGGAAACAGAAGGTAGTGCAGATTTGGAGGATTTTTCCTCAATAAAATAGTATTTAAACAGCATTTTCCCTTTTATTGTCAGCTGGAATTCCCATTGGGAAAAGGAAACAGTGTCTTCAAACAAATATAGGAGTTTGGAGATCTTCGTTAGTACATTGGAATGTTGGAAAGTTTCATTAAAACACATTAAAATGGTTAGAAAGAGACTGGAGTGGGATAAAGGGAAAACTAAGCAAATCAGGGGAAAATCAGGGATAGGGATCAACCCTCTGGGAAGTGTGAAACACTTGGGTTACTGTTTGCCCTGGAATTGTGGAGGAAACATAGGGAAATTGGGGGTGAAATCTAGGAATGATTCCCATCTTGGAAGGCTCAAAGCAGAGATTTGTTTGGGAATATCACACTGGGAAAGACACAGATTAAGTTAAATGCCTTAAAATCTGGATGGAAAGAAAAAGTGGAAGATCCAGAGAAATAGAACAGGGAGAAAGGAACAGGAAAAATGTAATAACTGGTTTCAAATACAGTAATTTCCCAACTCTTCCTGGGAATGTACAAAAAGCAGAATAAAACAGTTCACACAGTGCTCTATACTGGGAAAGATCCACGAGGGAGATGGAATTTCCATGATTTAATACTTCCTTGCACATTATCCAGGTTTTTAATCCCTAAATTGAAGGACAACATGGAACTCCAAGTTGATCCCACCAGGAAAAATTACGAAGACAAAGATTTCCAAAGTTTTTCCTGCCTTGTTTTCCTACAGCAACAAAAATCCTTGAGGAAAACAGGGATAATGCCACTCACTCTGCTTATGCCTTTTGGGAGGAGATTGGCTGGAAATGATGACACAACCATCTGAATCCCAGGCTGGAGAAGAGCTGATTCCAGCAGCATCCTAGAAAGGAAGACAAGTTCTTCAGGATAAAAAAACAACTTGGATTTGTGATGAGTTAACAGTTGGACTTGAGGATCTTAAAGATGTTTTCCAACCAATTCCCAGAGCAGCTGTGGCTGCTCCATCCCTGGGAGTGCTCCAGGCCAGGTTGGATGGGGTTTAGAGCAACCTATAGAAGGTGTTTCTGCCCATGGCATGGATTGGGATGAAATTCCCATTCCAAATATTACACTGTGTTTAAATGAAAAGACCCAATCCAACAATTTTCCATCCCAGGAGTTGCCACTGCTCAGGAATAAGAGCTAAAGTCACAGCACAGGGCTACAAAAAGTCTTGAATTCCAAGGAAAATCCCAAAACCAGGATATTTTTGGACTAATTTTCCTTGCTCTGGCTGATTCCTTCACTGGTTGAGGGACACAGAGCTGGGAAAAGCCGAAAGTGTCTCCAGGAGCAGCAAAAATTCTGAAAAAAAAAAATATCTCTTTTCCCTCATTTGGAGCATTTTGGAAGCAGTAATTTTGGGAAAGCACCTGGAATGTGGGTCAGGACCTTCCCAAAAACTCAGGGAGCTCAGACTTGGCTTTGTGATATTTATTAGGATAAAAAGGGGGAAAGCGCTTAAAAATCCCTTTTCCAGTTTTTTCTTTTACCACAGGAAAACCAACCCACAAGAAAACAATACAGGTGGTTTTCTTGAGAAAAATATACTGCTGAAAGCTTTGCTTTCACCTCTGACCCATGGAATGTCTCACTGAAGCCAAGGGCTAGTGACAGATATCAGCAACCCTGCTGACAGGAATTCATGATGTTTATCCCAGTTTTATGCCTTCCTAAGACAGGAATTGGGGAAAATACATGGATTTATCTATACAATGAGGCTGGTTTAATTCCAGCTGGTTTAAAATTCCAGCTGCTCCATTTCCAGCTGCAACACATGTTCCCCCAACCCCCTCACTCACCGTGTTCTCCACATCTCTGTCTCCCACTGCTCCAGGCTTGGAAGCACAGGAGACATTCCCACTTTCCCTTGGAGATCCTTTTCCTCCACGTGCCAGATCTCCTCGATTCCCACAGCCTGGAGAGTCTTCCCTGTCCTCCATTTCCTTTTCCCAAGGCACAGAAATCCTTCGTGATGACTCCTTCTCCTCTAGGATTTTGTTCCCATCTGCTGTATCCAGGTTTTTAGCTGGCCCTGCTTCCAGCTGCCGGTTCTCCAGAGGAGGTTTGGGAATACCCTGGAGAGCCTTGGTGTCTCCAGGTGGTTTTTTGGAGTGGGATTTCCTCCTGGGAACAAAGAAAGCTGCTCCCATCTGGAGTTTCAGGGCAGGTTTCACCTTCATGCTGAGCACTCGGAAGGGTGAATCCATCTTTTTCTGGATCAGGCAATTCCCATTCTCTTTCCCCACATTGGATTTTCCCACTGGGATCTCTCCCTTCCCCTTCTTCACCATTTTGGGGGCAGCTTGGCCACGTTTGGCGGTTGTTGTGCGCTTGGATGCCTTGGAAGTTGGATTCCTGCTCACATTCCCATTCGCCTTCTCCATCCTGCTGCCAGCTGGGACATTCCCATCCCTGCTCCTCTCCTGCAGAAGCTGCATCTCCTTCAGGTGCTTCCTCTCCACAGGATCCAGGTAGTGCTTTTCCTTGCTGTAAAAGGACACTACAGACACATGGGGGTGGGAAGATTCCCTTGGAGATTTCCTGGGAGCAGCCACAGGAACACGACCCGCCTGAAGGAAGGAAATATCCAACCTCCTGGACAGCACTGGTTTTCCTGGAAGAGCCTCATTTTCCTTCATCTCATCACTGGAGCTTGGAGAGCCTTTTGTTTGCGAAAGGATCCCATTATTCCTTGATTTTTTTGAGGGGGGGGAATGCCCCTCAGGAAAGGTGTTCATCCTTTTTTTCACTGGAGTCTGGAATGCTGAGGCAGAGCTGGAAAAATCAAGCAGGGAATAAAACAGTACATTTAATCCATTTATCCTTCTCCCAGCATCAGGGAATAACAGCCCTCCTGCTTTCTGGAACGCTGCTGGGAAGATTAATCAGGAGAACAACAATGACGGATTTGTTTCCAACTCAGGAAAACACTTGTGTGTTCTCCATGGATCTATGTGAGGCTGGGGGACTTCTCCCAGCACTTTTGATGGGGAATAATTGTCCCAAAATTGCACTCAA